AAGCTTCAGTTTTCCTGGTTTCAAATAGTTTCCTTGAAGCCTGCCCGTAGAGTCTGCCGTTCTGATCCCAGACTTGAGAGCAAGCGTGTAGTTGCTGAAGGAAGAGTGCTGGAGTTTGATTTGAGGATGACTGTGATCTCAGCATTTTTTTTTTGCTCCTGGATTCTAGTAAGGAATTTTGACATATACTTCTACTTATTAATCAAATTTATTATAATGGTTTTCTATGATAAAAGTCATCGTATGTGAAATATCTTACAGGAATTGTACCACCTAATTGTCTAAGCATACCAGGAGAGGCCCTTAGATGCTTTTGTGAGCAATAAAAAAAAAATTCCTCTTCTGCATCAAGTTGAAATAATTTCCCAGTTTCTAAACATTTGTGTCGAGATGTGACCTAGTGCCAAAAAAGGCCCGGGGGGGGCACATCTGTCTCATTCTCTAGTCACTGTTCACTGTAACGACACCAGTGTGGCCTCATTCACAGCCGTCAAAGGCTGGATTGCTTATTCCTGGTGTTTCTTCCTCCTCCTACCCCCAAGTAGGCGCTTAGTTGACTGATTATAGAATCATAAGGTTGGCTATAATTCCATTTCTCCTTCTGACTTTGAACTTAAGTGTTCCAATTACTTTGCCCGATCCTAATAAGTCAGTAGCGTGCAAATGCTTGCCTTGATATTGCTGAAATATACAGGGCTGTGATTAGCATGGGATTGCATCATTAGAAAGCAAAGTTGAAAGCGGATGAGCAAAATCATCGCTTGCAGTGAAGTAAAACTGCCTGTTCCGAGGACTTACAATGTTACTGTGATCCTAGAGACACTTGGCGCTATGACTAAATATTATATTTGGAAAAAAAAATCCTCTGATGTTCCGGAACCTTCTGGCTCTATCCATTACTGGAAGAGAAAAGATCTTACAGAAGGACAAGCCCACTCTAACACACAGCTTTGATGGCTCTTCAAGTCCAATAGAGCTAAAGACACAAAAGAATCCTTATACCACAAAAGGGGGGAGGAATGGGAAGGAGGGATAACAGGGACAAGGAACGGGAGAGAAGGGTAGGAAGGAACTTTAGTCAATTCTGTTAGAATAAAACATAAAGTTAGAAGGCCTTACGGTAAGCCTGTGGGAGAAAAAGAAAAACAATCTCTCTCTCTCTCTCTCTCTCTCTCTCTCACACACACACACACACACACACACACACACACAAACACACATAACAAATGAAATACTAAAAAAACTACATCAGCACTGATGGTGTTTTCTGAATTGACTCCTTTTCTTCTCTGTGTTACTGAGAATCACGTAAACTTTTGGAAACTCGGTAAGGGAGACCAGAAAAACGCTTTCAATTAGGAATGAGCCACCGCCAAATCAAATGATAGGTGGAAGGGGGAAAGAGGGCATGGCCGAAATTGATGCCAAAGATTTATAAAGTTGGTTAAATAAACAAAATCGGAGTGGATCGCCGTGGAAATGTCTGAATATTGAAATAGGCAAGATTTGAATAGACTAATGATATGCCTCACTTCGACTGACAGTGTTGGTAACAAGTGTGACACTCCATCTACACCAGCATCTACGCATCTAACGTGTTTATTCCCAGGAAATAGGGGCTGGATTTAATGATTCCCTTAGAAATCGCTTACAAGCAAAATACACCTTCCAATATTAAAAGAATACGAACTCAATTCTCATCTACTTAAAAAACAAAACAAAACAAAACAATGCAACCAAACTGGCTTATGCATTTGCGTTCTGGATGTGAGGAGCCGCAGTTAGCTGAAGTCATTCTCTTGGGCTTCTCGGTGGTCTTTGTTCTAATAAACCCCCTCACAAAACTGAATTCTGGTGTGGCTTATCTCTCACACTTAGTATTTGGAGTGTGACCACCATTCATTAGAAACATAACTTAAGAGACCCAACATTAGGTCCCTACCCCCACCACATACAGAAGAAACCAATAAACCTTAATCTATTTGTTTCCATGGCTACCATAGGATGTTTTATTTCAGTAAAACTCTTAGGTATTTCGTTTGGATTGTTGCTCGCGAATGAAAGTTGGAGGCCGATTCATTTCCATAACTACAGCGGAAATGAGACGACTGGACCAAAGACAATGTTTTTCTTCATAATGGACTAATAAGATCCTTGCGTAGAAAAGTTATTAAAAATGGCTAAATGCATCAGCACTTAAGCCAAGTTAAACATTATTAAATTCTTATAGGGTTTAAGGGCACACATGCTACTGATTTCCTGATCTGTCGCAAGGTGATAAATCTAATGCACTCCAGAACAATATATGGGACCATAGACACTGTGACCCACTGCTCTACACATGTAGGAACATCCAGACTGAGTGTCAAATGCATGCACAACAACCAACCCTTAAATTATGTGTTCAGCAGATACGTTTTCTCTATGTGTCAAGACGAACAATCTGTACAGTTGTTCAGCCCCCCCCCCCGGCCCCGGGGAAAAAGAACGAAAAGTAGGCAGCCCATCTCCCCCCACCCTTAATTTAAATTTAAAAATCAGGAATGAGATGGGCTAATTAAACGTGCTGTCATTCATCCCGAACGGAAAGAATTTCTCAAATCTGCCCTCCCCAGCCTGAGTTGGCAGTAAGACCACTCGGCAGAGGAGAAACTCTGTAGCGACTAGACAAATGGCTTTAAAAGAGAATGAAATGAGGATAAATACAGCTGTAACCAGGACAGATCCATCACAGCAAGAGGAGTCCGAATCCTAGCGTTGCTCAGCTGAGGAGGGGCTGGAGACTGCAGCGGCGGCGGAGGAACCTGATTGTCCCAGAGCTGAGGAGTGGAAGTTTCTCGGCAGCCGCAGCCGGCGTCCTCCACGTCTAGTCCCTCCGGCGAAGAGGTCTCGCCTAATGCTACGTAAATATCTGCGTTCACGATTCGCCCCGGGCGCGCCGCGTCGCAAACACCACAGGGAGAGAGGATACGCTTCGCAGAACCGCGCGTGTGGCAGCATTGGCTGCTCCTCACTCATCATCATCCCTGGGGACCTACAGGAGATCTGTCAACTGACCGCCGCTGCCTTTTCGATTCCAGAGGCCAGCGATGAGAGAGAACGTGCTTCTCAGCAGGCGGACCCAGGCATCCAAGACTCACGCTTTGCAGTCGCCCGCTCCTCTGAGAACAGCCGCAGGCAGGCAGTGCGTCTCCGCCTTCCCTAGGCGATGCACACCGAACCTGCCCCGGGAACAGCCTCGGACCGAAACTGGGCTCTGGGCTCCGCGATCTGGGCTGGAGCGAGCACGCCTCTCCCCCCTGGGGCCTGGGGCCGACACTGCCCAGCGCGGGCACCCGCGCGCGACCGCAGATAACCCTCCTGCTTTCGGCCAGCTCCAGGCCACGAAGACCCGGAGGTGAGACCGCGGCCAGCCCGCACCGCCGGTGGCAGTCCGGGCGCGCGGCCACACTCCCACCTACGTGTCTCCTGGTCCACTATCCCATACATAAACAACCCCTCCCCACTCGCCACCACCTCCCCGCCCTTCGCATCCCCGAAGCTGTCCTCCCACCTCCAACCCCCGGCTGGAAACCACAAGGTGTCAAGGGAATGAACGAGAGGTCACAACACGGTCTGTGTGGGTTCCATCCAGATGATTTTCAAGCTCTTCTACCTCGAAAGTTACTTGGGATCCAGTGAAGAAACCCGGTCCCCAAATGCTAGATCTGAGAACGCGAGGGACAGAACCTATCATCTAGCTTTCCTTGGCACACAGGCGCGCACCTCCCCAACCTGCAGGGCACACGGCCGCCCTGGGGACCAGCTCTCCGGTGCTTCCTGGGCCCCCGGCACTGTTGGGGCCCTGGGCCGCGCATGGGGAGGTGGCCAGGAGAGGGACGCACACGGCCCAGCCCGGCCCAGCGCTACCAGGCTTCGATGTCATACTCGCTTCTAGTACCTTTGACCACCGCGACAGTACCCCCAGGCAGTCCCTGCATAACACACCCGGAGGCAGGAAGTTTTTTCCCCCTTTTATTCATCCCCAGAGCAGCGCAGGCGCAAGGGTTTCTGCAGGCTTGCGAGTCCAGACGCGGGAGGCTTCAGCTCCAGCCGCCACCGCTGCCAGAGCCGAGCCCAGCATTCCGGGCTCCGGGCCCCGCTCCCAAGTCCTACCTTGCTCAGTAGCTACCAGGACCCCAGGATCCTCCCACACCCTCACTCCGCATCTTAAGAGCCCCAATCTGACCAGGCTCTTACCTGCGGCCGCGCCGTTCCGGCCCCGGCCCGACGCGCAGAGAGCCCAGGGTCGCGGATGGGTGCAGGAGGGCTGATGGATAGGGGACGGCGCCGGCGGGTAGCTGTAGCTGGGGCCGCTCGCGTCCTGGCCGGGAGAAACGGATCCAGGTCCACCTCCTCGCGTTCCTGCTCTCCGCCTTCTCCCCCTTTCCCTCCTCCTCCTCCGCCGCCGCCGCCTCCCGGCAGCCCAGGGAGGATGCCCGGGAGAGGGAAGTCAGTCCTTCTGCCTGTCAGCCTGCGCGGCTATGCGCGGTGCGGCGCGGCTCTCAT